TCTACATTGCTGATGTGGCGCATGCCACTGGGATACATTGCTGACATGGCGCATGCCACTTATCTACATTGCTGATGTGGCGCTGCCACCTGTCTACATTGTGTTGCTGATGTGGCCCTGCCACCTGTCTTCATTGATGATATGGTGCATGCCACCTGTCTCTACATCTGACGTGGCATTGGCCACGCTGTCTACATGAGGTGACTGGTTGGGACAAGGAGGGAGACCGGGATCTGTGGATAATTGGGATAGGGTACTCACCTGAGGTTGACGTCGTCACTGTATTCTGCTGTTGTCTTCATGGTCTTCACGAGATAAGAGTGCCATGTGGCACTGCTGTGTGATCAGGATTATCGTACTTGTTATCATATACTGGTTGATGACGCGGGGAGGGAAGAAGCCCGGAGAAGAAGTGGGAATTGATTGGATTACTCGTGTTATCATTGTTCATCTCTTCCACCTTCTCCTCTGTCTATTCCCCCTCCACTCTCTTCGTCTAACGGTAACCAGATACTGTTTCAGATATCATTTCACGTTAACTGGAGACTTTGTGCAGATACTGAGACTACTTGTGCTTTGACGTCTGACAAGTATCTTCCAGACTGGGTTCATTACAGAGAGAGAGAGACATAGGGAGAGTGAGAGAGTGAGAGAGTGAGAGAGTGAGAGAGAGAGAGTGAGAGAGTGAGAGAGTGGGAGAGTGAGAGAGTGAGAGAGAGGTACAAAGTGAGAGAGAAGTAGAGAGAGGGGGTTGAAGGGGAGGGACAGAGACGGGACGGAGACGGGCGTAATCAGTAACAATTTATTAACAAACAGTGTTGGACTCGCCGATGGTCGGCGGCCCTCGACTGGTTGGCTGCCGACCCACCGACCGATCGGCTGGTCGGCACCTGACCCAACACCCCCGAACTGGCCCCAGCACCCTTATTAAACCCCCCGATACCCCCTATCACCCCTATACTCCCCCTATACTGCAACCCATACCTGCAGCGCATCGCGTGTGCGCGAGCTCCACACGGCGGCGCATAACGCACGCGCAAGTATGCGCGCGCACGTGATGCGGCGCACCCCAATAAATAGGGTAAAAAAAATAATTTGGAGAGGGATGGCTGGGTAGCCAATGGTGCACCTCCCTTCTAAAATATCGAACGGCACAGGAAAAAAAATTGGGCCCACGTATTCCTTGTTGAATAGTCTTTTTCCCGGAGGACCCCAGCAGTGCGTCTGCAAGGGTCCCAACATCTCAAGTGACATTCAGCAAATTTCGTGTGAGAGAGGAGCAGGCCAGCAATATATGTTCTGGATCCGAAGTCAGGTCTGCTTTCCAGCAGTTATGGGTTACACGTTACAACTACTTACTTCCGTAGCTCTCTCTTTCTTTTGTTTCGTTTTCCTACGAGTAGTGGCCCTAAGGGCCTTGCTCCGCTCGTCACTACTTGCACAAAAGACAAAACATATGGTGGCGTATGGTTCCATGTTCTAGCAGAAAATTCATTCCTCTCTTTCTTTTGTTTCCTTTTCCTACGAGCAGTGCCTAAGGGCCTTGCTCCACCTTGCTCCACCCGTCACCACTTGCACAAAAGACAAAACATATGGTGGCGTACAGTTCCATGTTCTAGCAGAAGATTCATTCTAGTTTTGCACATTTGGTGAGTAGTGGAGGGAAGCCCTGAAAAGCACGTGGTGAGTTGGCCTGCTACTGCCCAGAAACTCGCGTGCTCAGTGGTCCCATAACTGCTGAAACACGGACCTTAATGTGAATCAACAGCATATATACTTGGATTGCCATAACTCTAGCATAGCTATGAGCATTACCTCGTTCATGGTAATGTGGCCCTTGCTAATTATGTGCAGGGGCCTCTCCGATAACCCGCAGGGGGTTTCAAATAAATGCTACGGAGCTATTTGGTTTCTCTCCCTCCCTCTCTCTCTCTCTCTCTCTCTCTCTCTCTCTCTCTCTCTCTCTCTCTCTCTNTCTCTCTCTCTCTCTCTCTCTCTCTCTCTCTCTCTCTCTCTCTCTCTCTCTCTCTCTCTCTCTCTCTCTCTCTCTCTCTCTCTCTTGCGTGTTCTTTCTCTCTCTTTTTTGCGTGTTTTCAAACATAACAGACGGCTTTTTTTTCTTTTTTTTTTCGGTGACCAGCAAACTTGCGCAGCAGGTATGCTCCAACCCCAACCCCCCCATCCCCAAAAGTTTCTCAGCGGATTTGGGCTCTACTAGGCAAGCGCAGTACAGCCCCCAACTCAGATTTGAAAAAAAATCAGTGGGTGGTTGTTTTCTGACTGGTTGGCAGACCGCCGACCGGTCGGCCCTACTGGTCGGCTGCAATACGGTCGGCGGTCCGGGTCGGCAGTCGGCAGGGGTGCAACCCTGTTAACAAACCAAAAACAAGATTTTCATTGCAGAGGGAATGTACATCCTAGCTGTGCCCATTTTCGATGACTGATTATCCAATGTTGCACAACGTCAAACAGCCTTTGTGTGTGTTTTAGGTTTTCCCCACAACAGCCCCAATTCCACCCAGGTGAATAGATTCAGAATCAAAGCAGTCTTTGTCCTATTGCAGACAATGAGAACATTTGAGATGTCCAACATATTAAAGCAATTTTATAATCAGACAGTTTTTTGGTTGTCCTTGGGATACCCCTTTCATTGTTCTTGCAGCTCCCCTTTTGCGCTGCCTCTTACGCACAAGGCTGCCCACATTGATTGTGGTTGAGCGGCAGCTGCCCACATCCCCGTGTGCCTTCACGGCCCACTTGCACGTTATTTCAGGAGGCAGAGTAAAAGGGAAGGTAATAAGGTATGCTCCTGTGCATCTCTTCAGAGCTTCATACTCCTGTTTATTTCACTTTAGATCTGCAGCTTATACACTCTTGTGTCCGTCCTTCATCTTCCTACTTCCGTTCATTCCATTTCTGATCTTCACATCGTCTATTCTCTTAATGATGCTCATTTGTATCTTTTTGTTAGTAGTACAAAGGGAGTGGAGGGGAGGGTGGAGGGTAAGGGATACAAGGCGGAGTTCTCTAGGAGTATGGGGCAGGGGAGGTAGGGGCAACGGGAAGCAAAGAAATATGTGGAAAAAAAAAAACTGCTATGGCGAGTGGCCACCCCTACAGACTGGACAGGACCGGTTCGGGTGTGGGCTATGGAAGCACCGCATCCAATTTTGGCAGTCACAGTTGCTGCATCGAATGGCACGACGCAGACCGATGTCACAGGCTATGTGGCTCGTACATGTGTGTGTGTGTGTGTGTGTGTGTGTGTGTGTGTGTGTGTGTGTGTGTGTGTGTGTGTGTTTTAATAATAATGTAGCACAATAATAATGAATAATTCAATTTAAAAATATTAAATTCCAGACTCTGTAAGTCCATAAACCACAACGATCATTCACGGTGGCTAGCACAAATTGAAGCAGCCAAGAGAGGAAAACGAAAGCGAAAAGGAACTTACGCTCCTGTCACAGGCTTTCCATTGCTTGGCCTCGAATCGTCAAACTGGCCATGGTACACCAGCTCAAATGGCCGCCTCCCGTCCTACAATCCCACACACACAAATCATCACAAAGTTCAAAGCAATGGTCACCGGTATATACACAAGTTCATCAAAAAAAAGTTCGTCCAGAAGTTGATTCCTTTGAAATGCTGAAAAAAAAGTTCGTCCAGAAGTTGTTCCAGAAGTTCAATCCCAAAGAACCTGGTCCAGAAATTGATCCAGAGATAAGTTATTTCGGAAGCCGGGCCAGATCAGATAAGCAGATGGTTTTACTACCAGTCAATTTGCACCTGCCAAATAGTTGATTTGGGAGTTGAATTGCACGTGGATTTGCCCTTTGTTGATGATTAGCAAGTTGCGGATTTGCCCGAGCTGATTTGTGTGCACAAGCTGGATGCCCTTGGTCCACGGAGATTCGCAAAAGTTGCTGTTCACAAGTTCATTTGCACGTGTCGATATGCGCAAGCAGATGCAGAGGCGGTATTGCAAGAGAGAACGGCAAATAAAAGTTTAATACACAACTCGTTCGAGGAATGGTACCCGGGTCGTACCACGGGTAATACGCCTGATCCCATCTGAACTCGGAATCCGAGCGCCGTTGGGCCGGAATAGTATTCCACGACCACCAAGGGGCATGAGTAGCTCCGATTTCCCTATCCTTTTTTTTTCCTTTGTTTTTAATGTTTTCCCCATCCTCCTTTTATGCCATTGAAAGTGAGCAAGCATGGGCAGGACCAAATCCAAGGAGAAACGTAACTTCTGGCCTACTTTTCCGCGTCCTTTTCTCCTATTCCTCCATCCATGAGCAAGCATGGCTTGCAGAAATAATTCTTGGGACGAAATTGAACAACAAACCAGGCTACCAAAGTGGCGTGGAACCACTTGCCCGGCCGGAGCAAAACATAAATATTGAATAAACAAATATTTTGAAATAAATAGTTTTAACTTTTAAATTTACTTTTTACTTCTAATTTGCAAAGAATTTGAATGAGCAAGCATGGCTTACAGGAGTAATTCTTGTGAACACCCAGCCGGGCAAAACAACAAACATTAAATAAAGTTTAATAAGCAACTAAATAGTTTTATTTTTATTTTTCATTTTCTAATTTCGCAAAGAATTTCGATACGACCCCGAGGCAAAAGTCGTTCAGTCTAGAAGGACAGTGGGCACCTCTAGAAGGAATCTTAGTTCCTGGGTTTGGTTTGACTCAGGGATCACAATCTGATAGGCCAAATTCCTTCTCTGAAATTTTGACATTTTGATCGTTCTAAAGATATGACCCCAGTCGGTCACCATAGACCAGATTATAAGAAGAGGATCCTACCTAATTTCATCTCGCAAATTGTTTCATTGGACTTCATACAGGCTTGCATAGCACTTGGTATCTGGCGCAGGAATAGGTGACGAGGCCTGCGTCGTCCAACGGAGCAGGCTGCACGAACAGTCTGATTTCATGACTCAATCGAATAGGAGTTGCTATGAGGGACGCTGGACCCGGGTTTCGGCGGGGACAGTTTATGACTCAGTCAGATACGTGTTGCTATGAGGAACGCTGGATCGGAGCCTGATTACCAAAAAAAAAAAAAAAAAAAAGTTGTTCAGTCTATGTTTCTGGCATAACATAGTTTTCTTTCGGATTTTTTGGATTCTTTTTTTTTGTAGGCTTTTTTTTTGTAGGGACGTCCCTCAGCCCTTGCCCAGCCAAGACGCCAAGGAAACTGAGGTGACCTGGGCGGCCCTGTTGGTAGTCCAAATCAGTTTATTTTCTGCATGACATAGTTTTTCTGTGGATTTTTTGTGACTCCTTTTTTTTGTAGAGACCTCCCCCCTCACGGCCCTTGCCCGGCCGCGCCGCCCCAGAAACCGAGGTGACCCTGGCAGCCCTGTTGCTAGCCCAGACAACAAACTAACTGTGCTCCAAGAACAGCCACACCGTGAATATCGTTCCTGTTCTTTTCCCCTTCCCCTTCCTTATCTCATTTCGCTGTCATTCTACGATACAGAGAGATAGCGAAAGCCAAAGAGAAACCGCAACCAGGTACCTCTCTTTCATTTATGTGGAACAACCACCCTCAGACCGACAACCAGGTCTCTCTAAAGAGGAAGAATTCAAAGCTTACCTTTCTTTTTTTTTTTTTCCTTTTTAACAGGTCTCAAAGCTTACCTTTCTGGAGAGAGAGAGAGAGAGAGAGAGAGAGAGAGAGAGAGAGAGAGAGAGATGTTGCGTGTGTGTGTGTGTGTGTGTGTGTGTGTGTGTGTGTGTGTGTGTGTGTGTGTGTGAGAGAGAGAGAGAGAGAGAGAACACTTCTGAAAAGAGAGAACTCACGAGTCCAAGCTGAGAGAAGTCAAAGCTTTACCACTCTCTTACAGTGACAGAATCAAACGCTTACCTTTCTAAAAAGATAGAACTCGGGAGTGCAAGCTGCTTTGTATGCTTTTGCCACCTCATGTGTCTGCAACAGCAAACACAACGAAAACAAACAGAGAATGGAGAAAACATAATCATCAACAGAGAGTCACCACCCACGCCTAGCTCCTCCAGAACAGTAGCAAAGCACAGGTAGCCAAGCATAATTACTACATCACTCACGCAAAAGCATAACTGTTCGAGCACATTATTCAGAAGTATTTGGTTCACAAAGAAAGCATATACCATAACAACCCTCTCTCTCTCTCTCTCTCTCTCTCTCTCTCTCTCTCTCTCTCTCTCTCTCTCTCTCTCTCTCTCTCTCTCTCTNCTCTCTCTCTCTCTCTCTCTCTCTCTCTCTCTCTCTCTCTCTCTCTCTCTCTCTCTCTCTCTCTCTCTCTCTCTCTCTCTCTCTCTCAACAACACGAGTCCGTTAGATCTAATCATCTAACGAACACCATACGCTATATGACATGATTTCATTCCAGGGTTCGACAAGACGTCTGACGATAATTATCTTGAAACGATACCCATGTGTTCTCCGACAATACTCACCCATCAAAGCTAATCAACGCATTAGGGTTAATGGTATACGAGGAAGTTTGCAACTCAGAGATGCTGCCATGGCATTGAAATTCGGGAGCACTACCGCCTTCACCCAAATAGAACGCCCGGGCATTATCACTGCATCTAGACTGAAAGTTCCACCAAATACACAGCTATAATGACCGGGCATTCTATTCGGGTGAAGAAGGCAGTTCAAACCATGCTATATCTGGTCTCAAGTTCCAACCACTGGTGCATGCAATCAATTTCAATCACTACTGCCATCTTCAGTCGAATAGAAAGCCAGGTCATCATCGCTGTATTCGGGGCAACTTCCAGTCTAGATACAGCTATAACGACCAGCCTTTTCTATTCGGGTGAAGATTGCACATTCAATGTTGATTGACCCATCCAGATACATGTATAATGTTATGTTGCTCTTACTGGGTGCCGACCTCAAAGGGAGGAGAGAAGAGGAGAGGAGAGGAGAGGAGAGGAGAGCGGAGGAGAGGAGAGGAGTGGAGAGGAGAGGAGTGGAGTGAGAGGAGGAGAGACAAAAGGGAAGAGCATGCATGGTGACGAGTCACACGTACACATACCTCATCATACAGATAAGGAAACTTGTACTTGAATTCTCGCGCATCCTCGGCCATCTGCTCTGGGCCATCCTGCGAACATTATCAAACAGAGGACCAGGTGCGTGCACAACAGACACGCGCTCGCTACCTTGAGATTTTTTCTCCTCTTCTGGTCCTCGAAAGCATCTCACACCAATGGTGCAAAGTTTTTCTATTTTTTTGAGAGCAATCCTTCAGTGGTAAAAAATTAAAAAGCGTTATCAAAATACAATTGAAAATTCTCCTATCCAAAGAAAGGAGTTTGTAAGCTATCCAGCTGGGTTCACAAAAAAAAAGGGTTCAAACTTCAAAACTCGAATGCGTGAAAAAAGTTCAAAAAACAAACAAGTGCACTGCACTGACTGCAGGAACTGTTCTGTTATATGCTTTCTGAGCCTTTCTCCCTTCCTTCTCTTTTTTTTTTCAGGGGCCGACGGCCGTGCTAATTGACTCTGCATTGTCCCGATTTTAACGGATGTCCCAGAGGACGTTTCGGCATATACTTTTACTTACACTGCCAGTGGCCGGGGGGCATTGCCCGGGAACAGGAAGAAGCTGCGGTGCTTAGACACGGGAGGAGGTCGGTGCCAACCCATACCTTTTAGGGGTGCCCCAGCTTGTACGCATAGATATACTGCAACTATCAATACTCGAAACTGGACTAAAAAGGACAACAGGGTTAGGTAGAGTAAGATGCAAGAGTGAAGAATAAAACTTAGTTAAAACTATAAAAAAAAAAAAAAAAAAAACGAGAACGGGGCTTTAACATGAGAACTGTGCTTGAACCCTTCAACAGAAACCATCACAGCAGTCAATTAAGGCCATCAGGAAATGGTGGTCCCCACCTTCCAGGCAGAAGGCTTCAGAAAATATAATAGGAGGGAGTCTCAGAGAGTAGATAGAGAGAGCTCAGAGAAGAGCAAGCGGCGGAGGGTGAGTAGCAAAGGAGAGGTAGGGAGCAAAGGAGAGAGGCGAAGCAAGGGAGGGTGGAGAGGGCAAAAGGAAGGGAGGATATGGGGGTTAAGCTGAGGAAGAAGAAGAGTCTGCTTTCCAACAATCCCTGAAACTTATGACTTGTTTTTTATTTCTCTCTCTCTCTCTTACCTGTGGGTGGGTTACAATGCTGTTCGACGAAATGGCAACTACTCCAAGGCCTTTCTGCAAGAACAACAACCACCACCAAAAAAAGGCAGAACTTTTCAAAATTTTCCTTGTTTCCAACCGCACCGACGCCCGGCAAGCATTAAAATAATCATACCTAGGAGCTCAACACGCAGCTGTTTCGCCAAAAAAAAATTGACCACTTCAATGACGATTCATTCTTCGGGGATCTGAGAGATCGCAAATTCATGTCACATGCAGATCAATTTTTTCGATGGCTGAAACTGCTCAAAGTTTTACAACTTCCAAGGCTTCCAGCAAGCAAGTGATGGAGTTGAACGACCAGTGCCTGCACATTCGTAGGCCATTAACGGCGTGGCTGCATCGGCCTGCCGCAAGGGGCCATATTCATTCGAGTCAGAGAGGGGCTATATACTTATTTGATTGTGTATAGTTCGATTCTGCTGTTGACTTTGATTTTTCTTCTGATAGAAACACCCGGGCCTTGTACACACCGCCCGTCACACTATGGGAGCTTACTTCCTGCCTGCCATTGAAACTAAGTGAGAAATGCGGTAGGTACTGGTGGTTTAAACAGCACTCCAAAGTATGTAGTGTCACAGTGTCACTACTTAAGCCGCCAGTACATCGCCCCAGGGAAACATGAGAATCGAAGTCGAATCAATCCCAAAATAGCCGAGGCTCGGCGCTACCAGACCAAAATGGCCAGAGGTGCCAGACAAAAAGAAAAAAATTGCACGCTGGCATTTCGGCGAAGGCTTGGCATGCAGGGAGAATCTGCCTCGGCAACAAGAGGCTCGGGACCTACTGGTGGTTCAACGCACCAGTACACACCAGTACACCACACATCGGCCTGCGGGTGTCAACGTGAAACCCACGCCACTTCGGAGGCCGTCGATTTGTTTTTCAATGGCGCCCCTGGCCGCACGGCGCCTCCGAGTTTTGCTTGTGGCGACAAAAAACTTTCTGCAAGACGGGGGCTGCGTACCCGCGGTTTAACACACACACACACACACACGTGGCAAAATAGTAAAATACTCAAAAAAATAGTATGTTGCTATTCAACAGACAATTGGTAAAATACTAAGATCCGCGCTCAGCAGAGGGCGCAAAACTCCAGCGGCCGCCGTTGAAATGTCATTGAGACCGCTGCTGGTCCCAAAGCAACCCATTCGAACCTCTATTCGTTTTCCCAAGCTTGGAGCACCAAGTCAAAAACAATTGGGCCTACCAGGTACCACAGCAAGCAGCAAAAGACATGCCTACTTTTGCTGCCTTTTTTTTTTCTTTTTCTTTTTGAAAAAAAATGCAAGCTGCCTTCTCCATATATGGGGGACAGCTGCATTTACTATGCTATTTTTTTCTCTCAATATTTCAATCAGAGTCGTTTTCCTTCCTCTTTCCTCTTTCTTTTCTAGAAAAGCCGACAGCCTTGGGATATCATCATCCAACTGACTGGCCCTACGTAATTCAGACTTGTTAGTATTTTTAATAGTTTACAGATCTGCTTTTTCTCGGGATGGAGTTCGAACTCAGGTCTGTATTTTAACAGTTCAGGGGTGTACCAACTGAGCTAGGCCATCTGGTATTTGCTGCCAATCTTTTTCTTTCCGCCATCCATAACTTTCATTCTGACTCCTCTTCTAAATACGCCTTGTGAGTGGCGGCCAAAAAGTCATGCTTCGCTTTTTTTAGCATCTGAGGCCCCTTCATCTTCTACTAGACTTCTAGTGATCCAGCACTATAAACTATGGTGAGCCTGCTGATCGACCAATGAATTCGGAGAAGATAGTTTCAACAGATTAGCACATGAATGAATGATGACTTGGCACTGCAAAGAACAAAGTGGGAAAAACAGATTCTGGTTTCCGCAGCAGAAACAAGGGTTGCTTCTTATTTTTGAGGCTTGAAAAATGCCAACCCCTTTGGAACCCCTGCTACAGCCAAACAGGCCATTTTGTCAACCTCACTTTCYCCCCCCCCCCCCCCCCCTTTTCGGAGGCCGCCCGCCGCTGATTCAATTTCAATTATCGATGGCGCTGGGCCTCCGAAAATTTCATCGGCGACGTTTTTCTTTTCAGCAAGCTGGGGCTGTGTATTGGCGGTTTAAACCACCAGTGCATGGCCCCAGGCAACTTGAGAAAAAGAGAGAGCCTCTCCGAAAAGTTCAGAGGCGCAGGGGAACCGCACCCAAATGGCTGGTCGCAGCAGCCAGATCGAGAACAAAAACACCACGGTGGCGTTTCAGCAAAAAAGATTGGTGCAGAGGCGGAAGCCGCCAGCCCGGATGTACTGGTGGTTTAAACCTCTTGGGATATGGTGGTCAACAAGCAGAGAAATGAGGTTTGGCAATTTTCTGGTTTGGGGTTTAGGGCCCTTTAGGGGTTTAGGGTTTACAGTCTGGGGTTCGGGGTTCGGCGATTGCAGATTGGGATTTGGGGTGTGCTTGCAATTCACATGCTCACAGTCTCTGAAGTCAGAGTCATTCACGTTCAGAGTTTAGGGTTTGCCATTTGGGGGGCTAGGAGGGGGGGGTTGCGATTTTGGGGGGGGGAGGGGGAGGGGGGGGTAGGGTTTATAACTTGGAGGGTTAGGGGATATAGGTGAAAAGGGTGGGGGGCGATCTAACCTGCATGTAGTACTCGGTCAATTTCGTGATCGCTGGCTTCAGGTGCTTTACAAAAGGGCAATGATTGCAAATGAACATGACCTGGCATTTTTCCACGTGGTGGTCCCCCCCCCCCCCCCCCCCAACAAAACGGCAAACAGTTAAGCCAGTGATTCAACGTTTTAAACTTTGTGGGGGGGGGGGGGGGGGGGGGGGGGAGGGGGGATTACAAATATAGATTCAGAAATGATAAAAAGTGAAAACAAAATCTCATGGTTATGCCAGACTAGCACTCTCGACTGATCTGGAAGAGAATCCAGACTCCTCTTGCCTGCATAGATCCAGACTTCCCAGGCACCCAGACATCATCCAGGCATATGAACATCCAGATCTGGACAGTCTGGATGGTCAGTGAAATGCCGAGATACATCCAGATTAAGAAAAATGCAGAGCTTCCTGTGCACACGAATATACGGACAGAGGACGTAAGTCAAAACAAACAATACAAGCAAAATGACGAAACAGACAGAAATCAACAACGATGCAGCTGATGACGAAATTAATCCTGGCCACACAATTTGGCTGGGAAAAGGA